TAATTTCCTGAGCTCAGAGGCACAAAGATAGGAGTTTTATTGTTCTTTTCCGTTTCTTTGTCCATCAACCCTTATTGCAAGGAGAGGGGAAGCCCATCTCTTTTCTCACCAAGGCCATAGGATTGACCTAGATCAGAAAGATGTAATGCTCTATCCAGCTATCAGCTCGATTGTGAGTAAATGATCTACTGAATGCATGTGAAGTTAAATAAAGACAATTTAAGATCTCTTTAGTGGCTGTGCGTTGACTCACACCTGGAAAGCGTTTGCCTCAGCTGCAGCTCATGCTAGACAGGACAAACCCAACTCCAATGTTTGGAGAGCACACCAATTGCACTGGAGTCAATAGCCACTTGGCCGCAATCTAGCAATCATGGAGCAGCTTCTGGAAGACACTCTCATGTCAACCAGATTTGGAAGCAGCTAACATTTGGAAGCAGCCAAAATGTATTGCAGAAATGTTACAGAAATAACATATGTATGTAAAGTGCTGTCAAGTTGCAGCTGACTTATGGCGAACCCAGCAAGGGGCTTTTAAGGCAAGTGAGAAGCAAAGGTTTGCCATTGCCTGCCCGTGCACAGTCTTCCTTGGTGGTCTTCCTTCCACGTTGCTTAGCTTCCGAGATCTGGTGAGATCAGGTTATACGATGCTGTCTTCCCTCCTCAGAAGTAACATACATATATAAGGATCCAGAATGTACATATATTAAACTGTCTTATATTGAATCAGGCCACTGGTTCATCAAGGTCAATACTGTCTACTCAGAAAAGCAGTGGCTCTCCAGGGTCCCAGAGAGAGGTCTTTCATATTACCTACTACCAGATTCTTTTAACTGGAGATGCAAAGGATTGAACCTGGAACCTTCTGTATGCCAAGCATATGCTCTACCAGTGAGCCATGGTCCCCTCCCCAACATGATACAGGGTACTTCGTTGTTACTTTTCTGACTTGTATGGAAGAAAAGCAGTCAGAATACTTTTTAACATATTCAGTAGGGAATGCAAGAAAACATTTTTCTTTAATTAAAAATATATTAATATTCATGTCCTGGTTCTTTGATAATGATGAAGGCTAACTGCTGAGCGAGGGGAAGAAAGTGTCCAAGATACTCAGTCAAAGAATAAATTGAGCTCATCACTGACCTTTTTTGTAACAATGGCAATCAGAACAAAGCAACTATGCTAGCTCAATTCCTCTTCTCTAATCCTTTCCCTATCCACAAAGGTCTTTTTAACAGCTGGATGCATCGTTATAATAAGACATAGAGGACTAGCCCTCATGCTGGTTCATATTCTGAAAAGCGCAAAGTCAAACAGAACATCTGCTGTTATTTCCCCCCTGCAAACTACATTCAAGACCCCTGAAAAATGGCATAGCTAAACTATGGTAGGAGTGGGAAACTGCACTTAAGTACAAAGACAACCAGGCTAAAATATCAACATTAGGACCTGAATCTTAATTATATTGGATGGAACCCAGAGAAACATCTTCCAAATTATGGGCTCATTATGTAGAGATCAACTCATCTAATTGCATATAAACAGGTGTCCACACAATATTTTTAAAGTTTAGGGTATAATCAATAGTCTCTTATTTCATCAAAGTGTAGGACAGATACTTTTTTCTTATTAAAACTCTAAATACTACTTTACATCTCAGTGAGACAGCTGAGGATGCCAGCCATATTGTTAATGATACGGTTATGACAGCTTGTATTTACTTTTTGTTCTGCTTACAGCTGAACTTCGTAATCACCTACCTTCAGCTAAAGGTGACACTACAATGAAAAATTCTGAAAACTCTGGTGTGAGTTACGTGGTGCAGGCCAGCTTCTTTGTGCCTCTGTTAAGGTTCTATGAATATTTTGGGTGTTTTTATGTATTGTCTCAATTTAACTTCTTTCCAGATTTCCATTAGTGCTCCCCTTAAGGTGTGATTTGTAAAGTTCTTAGGTAGTTTTCCGTCTTCATACCAAACGTACTTGTGCCACCCTACGCCCAGGTTGTTTCCTTCAAGAGATAGCAGTCTAGAGTCTTCCAGTCCCTTATCCACGTCAATGCTGCTGCCTTGTAGTACAAATTCCAATTAGGTACTCCAAATCCTCCTGTTTCTTTTTTGTCCTGTAAATATTTCCTGTTAATTCTTGGTTTTTTATTCTCCCATATGAATTTACTACATATCTTCTCAAAGTCTTTAAAGTAATTGAATTTCCTTAAAATTGGTATATTTTGTGCCAGAAAAATGAATCTCGGTTAATAGTGTTCGCTATATGTCATTTTCCCCAAACCTATTCAGCACTGTTTTGATAAACTACAGGAATTCAAAGTTTGTGTTGTCACACTATTTTCCTGGCATTTCTGACCACATAGTCCATAAAAGAATATGTACAGAGAAGCAATATTTCTTTTCATAAGATAACCTATTCCTTTTTCTATTGCTCATCATGATCAAAGCCCTGATGTGTGATTCTCACATGTTATACACTCCAGCTGCTCCAATTTACAGACTCAATGATTTGTGAGTTTCATAATTTCTAGGGAATTTGCACACAGACATAATTGCTTGTCAGCAGCCGTGTACCCATGAGTATGCATGCATCCAAGAATGCATATAGTTACAGCAGCCCAACAGTAATTTGTGTGTGGGCATGTGTGTGTGTGGGCATCACAACTATCAGAAACTCATTCCGCAAATTTAAATGGATTTAAAGGCTGTATGACTGCCAGCTGGTGTTAGCATGAATGGGGAGGGAAACAGGTCTTTAGCTCAGAGCTGGGAACTGTTAACTACAACCATAACACATGGTGCAATTTACCCTACATACAGCATGAAATAAAGATACACTAGTGTTTCCTGTTAGCCACACAGTCTGTGTGTAGCAGTTGATGAAATGGGGTGGACAACAGTAAGAGGGGGTTTCCTGCTCTTGAGTGATTGGCATTGTTTGGTGGTAACTAGGAGTGTGCAGGAGAAAAAAAATCGGCTTTTTTCTGATTTGGATATAATGAAGCTAAATTTTTCAGTATTCCCAAATATACCCGAATGCCAGTACTGGTAATGTATTGGTATCCAAAATATTTGGGAATACCAAAAAAAACCCTGGCTCCATTATATCCTATGTGGCCATTGTAGTCAATGGCAAAATCTTCTAAGGAGTATTCATTGGCCTGGGGGGAAGGGGTTTGAGGTACAGGATCCAAATTTGTACTGTAGCTGCTGGAGGCTCTCCCCAAAAGAAACCCCAAGTTTGGAAAAGTTTGGACCAGGGATCCAATTTTAGGAGCATCCAGGCAGAAGGCCTAGTCAGTTATCCCCCCCCCAACCAACAAGCCCAGAGAGATATCAATCACAGTAAAAAAAAAAAAAAGTTAAAACCTTAAACTGCAACAAAGTACACAACCAGAAACCAGAAGAACCAAAAACAAACAGGAAGAGGCCTGAGAGCCTAGGCCCCAGGCAGAAGGCCTAGTCAGTCGCCCCCCCCCCCAAACCAACAAGCCCAGTGATATCAATCACAGTTTAAAATTTTAATTTTTTTAAGCTGCAATAGGCAATGAAAGTACAAGACAAAACCACAAACCAGAAGAACCCCCCCAAAAAAAAACACAGAAAGAGGAGACCCTAGGGGCCAGAGACCTAGTTACCCACCCACCCCCAGGCCCCAACCCACCAGCCCACAATGAAATGAGAAGAGTTTTTAAAAACTGGCCCTAATCAGTTGAACCAGTGGATGTCTTCAGCCTTCTGTTCTCCAGCAGGCAGGATCTTGATCTGAAGTAGTCCAGGTTAGTCTCTCAGGCAGCAGGAAAGTAAGGCTGAAGCTGACTTTCAGCAGCAGCTGAAGCAGAAACCAGCCACACAATCTCCAACCAAAGCTCTGTCAGCAGTGATGGAGTCAGCCATCCAGAGACCCTTGCTTTTATGCTCTCTGGCCATACAAAGAATTTCAAAAAAAGAACAAACTTCTGTGATTGGCCAAAGGGCAGTATGCCCACCCTTACCTGCAATCCTATTGGCCAGTACTCCTCCCCAATCCTGTCCCTGGGAAGGCAAGCTAGTAGTTGAGTTTCAAGTTTTAAGCTAGCAGCAACAACAGCCTTGTAAGCTGCAATGCCATTTGCAAATGTATTTTCAGTGATTGGCTGTATGCAAGGTCCCGCTTCCCCATTCCCTTCTGGAAAACAGCGCAAAGAGCAGGAAATGGACAGAAACGCCAGGAAAGAGAAGGTAAGTGCAGCCCTTTAAAGTTTACCCCCCCAGAGCCTGTATTCGGCCATGCTGAATAACACCGAATAAAAGCCAAATAGTTTCAGCTTTTATTTGGCATGCTATATTCGGCAGTCGGCTTGCTGAATACCACAAAAATGCTGAAAAGTAACTTTTCGGGTTTTTTGGGACCGGCTTTACCAAATTCACACCCCTGGTGGCAACAAGGGGCAGGTGGTGGCTGGGGCAGCACTGAACAGGCACACAACTGTTGAATATGCAGCAGCACCCAGCATAGCTAATGACATCAGCCATGCTGGGCTCCTTTGGCTTTTCATTAAGCCATGAACCTGCCATTATATTGCCCCACCTATCATCTGCTATTAATGGTCACGCCTTCCTTCTACTTGGCTATAGTTCAGCAGCACCTTTTTACTATCATTTGCCATCCTTTATGAGCCCCCTCTAAGATACCTTAAATTGCTCCCCTGAGCCTGGAGAAAACCTGGTAAACCAGAAGCCAAAGCAAACAAACAAAAGGTGGGGAAATTCATATAGAATCTTCAGAAGCAGGACATTTTCAAAAAAACTCAGATAAATAGATGGTTCAAATAAAAATGTGAACTGTTGCTGAACCACTTGGAGATGGGATTGGGCACAATGCCCAACATGTTGAGAAAATTTGGAAAGCTACACTAGTGATCAGTTGTTCTGTGCCAGGAAAAATGCTAAATTTTGGGCTTCGTGTCCAACAATTCATATAACACATTTTTTTCTCCATTTAATTACGTACATTCCAGTCTATGGTGGCAAAGAAAGGATGCCGTTTAATTTCTTCAACACCATCAAGACCAGCACCTGCAAAGGCAATAAAAAAGACAGAGGGGAGGGAAGTTAAAATAGCTATGTTGGTATTGAATATATGTTAAAATAACGAGTATAGTAACAGCAGCAGAACCAGAAGCTACAACCACCGACACTAAATGATTCCTCTCTACCATCCTCCATGAACCCCCATCATTCTAGTATCATGGGACCATAGAGCACTAGCCCTTTGAAAACTGTACGTATTTTTGTTTCTCCATGGAATGGGTCCCCAACGTTGTGAGCCCCTGGACACCTTTGGAATTCTGACACAGGGTGGTTGCACAATAACAAAACATTTGCTGCAGGAAACAGAGGCAACCACAAAATGTCAGGGAGTAAGGTTAGAGATAAATCTAATCGTACCTCTTCAACATTCGGGCAGAGGCTCTTTTTAACAGGATGCCTTTCAATCTGCACAGCCAATCAGAAGCCCTGCTGTACAAAAGCCCCACCTAGCCCTGTGCACATTCTAAAAGCATTTAAAGGGTGCCAGGAAAGGTGTTGGTGGGCACTATGGTGCCCACAGGCAGCATGTTGGGAACCCCTGCTCCAAAGTAAGTGTCATTGGCAAGCTAAAACCATATTTTAAAGCCCTAGAAAGAAATTGTATGTAGTGACCACATGATTTGTCCCTTCCACAAAACTGCCTTATACAAAGTCAGATCACTGGTCCATCTCATTAAGCATGGCTTGTGTCTCCTGATCAACAGGACTCAAAGTCCCAACCCCCGCTTAGGTGATGAGCTAATTTATGCACTGATCTTCAATGTATGTGTATTTGTATTTATCACTGCACATCTACTTCTTTCATTCTATTTGCCTCATATTCCATTTATGTCTCCCTTTTTGGTCCCTTTCAGTATATTTAGCTTGTTTGAGTCAGCACTTTCAAGAAAATCAGTAATAATTAAACAACTCTCTGATTTGAGTGAGAGTGCCATATATTTTGGTTGATTTGTTTTAACTAAATAGTGTTTTCCATTATCCTCCTGTAGAACGGAACACCTGGAACAGGAAGGCACTGCGCAGTGATTTGTGGGCCATTCCTGTGAGAAGCTGTGTTCCTTCCCAGTACTCTCCACTTTCTTCAGTTGAGTTAAAAGATACCCAGTTTCTTGCGGTAGGCTGAAAGCCCTTCAGAATATCAGCCTGTTTCTTCTTCGTAATATTTGTTCTTACTGGAAAAGAAACAGACTGTTTTGTTAGAGGTCTTGTCAACTAATGAATTGTAAAGTATGACATCTGCTTTTCACTGCATATAAGATGTTAGCTGTGTTTGCTAGTGCAATGATCAGGAAAGGCTTTCCACCATCTGTTCATGATTTTCCAGCTCCAAACACAAATATTGTTTGTATTTTATCTGTGTGGCTGTCAGTCTTGTGCATACATGGTAGCTGGCTTTTTGAGAAATATATTTTTAATTCTGGGTTTTGTGCTTCTTGGAATTTTTACATGCAGAGCAAACTGAACAGATATAGCTTAACTCAAAAGGGTAAATGACTGAACATTTTGGTCCACAGTTTTGTTCTTAGGAAACTTCAAATACACTCCGTGTTCAGTGTGCACTTGAACCTGTGAGCTCGACAGAGGGAAGAGCATGCTCAAACAATCATTTTCATCATGATCCAGTGCTTTTTTTCATTCATGGATTTAACTACATTCATGACAAATTGGTCAACGGAATTGTACGCTGTATGTAAACTTTATGTGCCGGCACAAACCAGGGAAAGAAGCCATTTTCCCAAAGCCAGAATAATTCCCTTTTTTTCCAGTAACCAAGGACATGGATCTGGTTAAAAATGGCTCACACTAAACTTTGAGATTATTTCACATTTAAAACCAACTTCAGAAAGAAACCTAGTTCATTCTATTCCATCAGGGAATAGTGGGATTAAAAAAAAAAAAGGCATCGTGCCCTTGAAACAATAGGAAACACCAATCAGATTAAAAGTGATAGAGAAACAGTAATCACAATGCTTGGCCTGGGGAGCTACCACTGTCTTATTGTCCCTCACTTCTGTTTACTACTGTAACTGACACCCTCCCTATCAAAAACTGCTCTGGTGCTTTAGCAGTAATTTAATGTTGAGCACTGAAATCTAATTGAAACAACGAATGAAAGAATAATGGTGCAAATATTAGATACCAAACGGGTGGACAACACTCCCATATGCTGAAGATGTTATTAATGTGCAAAATCTATAAAATTTCTGATCTGTTTCCTCATTCTTCATCAAGAAAATTCATTTAACAGTCAAATAGACACATATTGTAAGATTTGTACAGAGAAACTAGGACTCCAAGCATGACAAGTAAACAGATTCTTCTAAGGAAGAACAGTGAAATGTTTTGGGCATTTTTCATGGGAACTTGCAGTCAAATTACTATTGTGCCTTAATGGCGTCATCTTTAGTATTTTTTTTAATATTATATACAGTCCTTAAAAGAGAATAGTGCTAATTAGAAGTGGTTTTCCTTTAAAAAAATCTATCAAGATTCTAGTGGAAAGACAAAAAACTGCTTTAGTGGAGAAAAAAGTGCAAGTATTTTTTAATGTTCAGTAAGCTGCCTAATCAGTAAGCAAAAGCAAATATTTGATCCACAACCTCTTCTTTATTATATTATTAATGTCATTATCCTGCATTTACCATGCCAGAATATTGCCCTATTTTACTATATAATAATTTAAGCATAAACACTGTTATGAAAATTAAGAGTCCAATTAATAGTACTGAGGCAGAAGTTTATGGGATAAAGCTTATGGGTTTGTCCACTTGCATTAGTGGAGCAACCCAAGTAGAACCTCAGCATGCGGTTCCCAAAGCCCACAAATGATCTCCCATAACTGGATCTAGGTATACAAACACAGAATCAACTGAATGGGGGCAGCACCATTAGAGCTTTGAAATGACAAGTAGAACAGCGATGAGGATGATCAGGGGCCTGGAGACCAATCCCTATGAGGAAAGGCTGAGGGACTTGGGAGTATTCAGTCTGGAGAAAAGGAGGTTGAGGAGAGACATGATTGCTCTCTTTATGTATTTGAAGGGATGTCACTTAGAGGAGGCCAGGGAGATGTTCCTGTCTGCAGTAGAGGATAGGACTTGCAATAATGGATTTAAATTAAGGACGGGAAGGTACCGGCTGGATATTAGGAAAGACTTTTTTACAGTAAGAGTTGTAATCAGCTACCTAGGAAGGTGGGTTTTTTTATAATTTAAAAAAAAATTGTATTGATGTTTAACATTTCATATTCATTCACAATCCTTTCCCTCAAGTTTACATAACATAACCAAACATCAGACACATCAATTTTCCCCTTTATTATTCACCTAGGGAGGTGGTGAGCTCCCCCTCACTGGCAGCCTTTAAGCAGCAGCTGGACAAACGCTTGTCAGGGATGCTTTAGGCTGATCCTGCATTGAGCAGGGGGTTGGACTAGAGGGCCTGTATGGCCCCTTCCAACTCTGTGATTCTATGTACCCCAGAATGAAACTCATCTGATGACCTGAGGAGCACTTGACAAAGGGAGCTTTGACTCTTAAAAGCTTATATCCTGAAAATCTTGTTGGCCTCTCAGGTGTTACTGAACTTGAATCTAGCTCTTCTACTGCAGACCAACAAGGCTACCCTCTGAAACTGACTACTTGAGAAGGAAGGATCCTGCTGGATGGATAGGGCCTGAAGTACCCTAGTGAATGGCCTAATGTATGTCAAACTGGGAACAGAAAGGGCAGAGTAAGATCCCAGAGAACACAGATCTGCTCAACTATTCTAAATGGGGTAACAGCTTCATTGCTATCTCCATCTATTGCCAGTATTGAATAAGAGCTCCTAGAAGCTGTCTTTTCCCCAATCCAGAAAGATGAAATAAAGTGTTAGGTCCCATCTTAGTAGAGAACTTCCATTAACTATAGACTAATAGGCAGGCTGGCAGACACCAGCTTCATTTTGTAAGCCACTTTGAATCCACCATGTGGATGTAAAGCAGGGTAACAACATTTCAATAAGTAAATAAATCCCACAATTTATTGTGGGTCAGCCAGGGCTCAGCGATAGCAAGTACTCCTCAGGAGAAGAGGACTCCTCAGAAGAAGAGGAGTATCACGTAGCCAGCCTTGAGTTAACAGAAGCTGACCAGCAGGAAAATGAGCTGCAGCCTTGTCAGGTATTCACAGCCAACAGCTGGTGCAGAGCCACAGACACCCTTCAGCCCTGATTCAGCAGGTGAACCTCAGTTGGCCATTCCCAGCCTACCAGTATCATCTACACCCTTAGAACACCGCAGATGGAGACTGAGAACAGAGCTACAAATAAGAAGTCAAAGTGCATGTCTCCTGGCCTGATGCCAGTTGCTTGCTTTTAACAAATATGAGTAGTTGCAGGATTGCTTCTGAGCAACTGGTTGCAAGCATGACCCTTAGGTGTGGGGCTATAAAACCAGCCATGAAAGGCTGTTAAGCGTGGATGCAACATGCATGATAAGCCATCAACTCTACCTTGCCTGACTCCTGGACCCCAGACCTTGGACTGAACAACTCTGCTTTGTCTGACTTCTGACCCCTGCCCTGGATTGAATGACCCTGCCTTGCTTGACTTCTGGCACCTGATACTAAGAGCCTGCAAGTCAGTACAGAATTGCTCCTGACCAGCCACTTTGTCACAAGTGGATCTGAAATTGGCCTATGAAGTTTCCTCCATGTTGGGCTGACCTATTTAACTGGTGTGAATACATGAGACAGAGACAAGCCAATGAAAGATAAGTGTGTTTTTCAGAACAAACACATGAGCAAGGTGCCAGATTCTTTATGACCCTTACTCATAGACATTATTTCCTCCCCTCCACACTGGCATTTCTAACAAAATGGTAAAAAATGACGCAGGAGCAAAGGGAAGCAATATCTGAGAGCTTTCCTGTTCTTCTTCAGGATTCATGTAATTAAGGAATGCAAGATCTATTGCTCAGCCAGATGGTAGTAAAATTAGACTGCCAAAAATCCCATTAACAACTGTCTGCCAGCATATGAAAGCAAGGTCTGTTGGGTGGATGTGGGGATCCAATGGTGCTATATAGTAGACCTTTGTCACACCACTTCAAGCAGTGAAGCAGCTACAGGATGTAAACTAGCAGAAAATAATCTTTCCTGCCTGACTTTCCCTTTGGCTCAGACTGGGTCACATTATTTACTTAATGTAGCTCTGCATATTTGTTTCCACTCTCAGTCAGGAAATGGTAATGGAGCTTAGGGACATTAGCCAATTTTCATGTCTGCCCACACTTGCACTGTCCTGTGTCTGATTCCCCAAACAAAGTTTAATTAGATTCCACAATCTCCAGGGATGCTGATATCAGTTAACTCCATATTCAACTAATGTTAAACAGCTCTTTTTTATTCCCATGCCATATCTTAACAAAATCCAAGGTTCAGTTTTTCTTTTCCCTGTAAGTATCCTCCTTTTTTTGTTTTGCTGTGTTTTCTGTTTTATCATGTTGGTCTGCAGAAGAATAGTAAGATTAGAGTCTAGTAGCACTTTAAAGACCAAGAAGGTATTTTTTGGGTATGAGCTTTTGAGAGTCAAAGCTCCATTCATCAGATTTTTCTGTTTGAAGGTTCTGAAGCACTATATTCCTTGGACTAGAAATATAAATGAACATTTAAAAAGGACATTGGACTATGGTAACATAAAGGGTATTTTACATGGAAGCTGTGTGGTTCTTATTGCATATGCTCAGCTGTGTACTGCAAAACTGCACTGGATTCCATGGGTCACCCTGCACATTGTATTGGGGATCCAAGATTAGATCTCCTGTTATGTAATCCTCATACATGGATTTAAAAGTATTCCTGCACAGAACAAGCTGAGCCTCACACTGGATTAAAAAAAAGGGCAGTGAGAGCTCTAGTCAGGTTATCTTCATACATTTCAAACTGATTCAGGAGAAGGAGAAATTCCAGTAGCAGCCAGGGAGTCTGTTTATTTTGGCAACATGCAGACTTCATGTATTAACGTACAATAAAAGACCAGAGCAATCTTCTGCTGTATCAGGCCAAGCCCATCTAGCCTTTGCCCAACAGAGGCCAACAAGATGCAAATAGAAGTTCATCGGCAGAGATGAAGGGTGTGGGTCTTTCCTGTAGTCTGTTCCCTGCACGTGACAGTCATAGATGCATACAAGACACTTGGTTACTTCCACATGGATGTGTGAGAAAGAATCCCTGCCACACCAGCAGCAAGTGACACAGGAATGGAGTCTGCACACCCCATTCTCATGCCACTGACTTGTGCTGCATGGAGCTTAACGGTCCCTAATGCACCTGCTCTCTATGAATCAGTCTTACCCTTTAAAAAAGCCCAACATATCATAAATTCATTCTTGATTACCTCTTGCAGTGCTTACCAGCACATTGTTTGGCTTCATTATTTATACATAATAACAAATGTAAATGAATTGCCATGGAAAACAAACTACAAATTAACATGTAACTGAAATTTATCACTGTATTATGCAGAACAAAAATAAGACACATCCCCATACCTAGTCTGTTGGATGGATTTCTTTTGAAAAGAGCTCGCAGCAAACTCTGGGCTTCTATGCTCAAAAACTGAGGCATTCCTAGCTTGGCTCTGGAAAAAAAGAATATTTGAAAATATTAAGAGGAATTTGTACATTTCTATGTATTTGTAAATATTTATTTATATTTTAAAATTTATTTACAAGCCTATTAAATGGTGAGAAAATGGATACACAAACATACATACCTTGAATCACTAAGGAATTTCCCAGTATCTCTCCTTTATTATAAAGGAGTTTTGGGTGCCAGAATTCTAAAATGCGCCCCGTTAGTGTATGGGCGGAAAATATGCCACTCAGAAGAGCTGCCTCCAATGACTGGCTCCCTCAGCCAACCTGCCCTGCCATTGGCTGGGTGGCTGGGAGGGGAGGGAGCCAGTCATCGGAGCCAGCATCGTCTGAGCGGCCATCTTCCCCACATACACTAAGGTACGCTTTCAGCCCAGCGGCGAACGGAGCCGATAGGCTCCGTCCGCCGGCTTCCCCCCCTCCAGCCCCCATCCTGCCCAGCGAACGGGCCCTGCACGGCCCGTCCGCCGCCTCCCTCCTTTCCAGCCCCCATCCTGCCCGGCGGACGGGCCGTGCTCCTTCCGCCGGCTCCACCCCCCCGCCCCCAGTCCAGCCCGGCGGAGGAGGCCGGGAGCCTCCGTCCG